AAAGGACGACCGCCTGGTCCTTTTTTTTTTCTTTTTTTTTTTGAAACAATTGCTCCAATCTATTGGTCGGGAGCAGCACATGCCGGAAAACAGGTCCAGCGTCCCAGTGCACAAATAACCATCTGCATACATTGACATCTTGCCAGCATTGATTACCCTGTATCCAGGGGATTGACTGAGCAGGTGAGAAGGTGAGCGGGATTGCCAAAAGAGTTCTCTTCAGCCCTGCTGCTGGGCGCCTGACGAACCTGACTACCTACCCCCCTTGTGTCCCTTTGGTGACCGCATACCAGCTGTCTGGGAATCCGCTAAGTGCTGATTGAATGCTACGCGTATTCCTAGGCTAGCCCCCTTTCTTTGCCTAACTCTGCACTGTAACCACCGCTAATCCCTTACCGATACCATTGCAAACTCACCAGCGATAGGTGGGGAGGTGGGGGGGGGGGGGGGGGGGGAAGGGGGAAGGGGTCTGGGAATTCAGATACGGGGCGCAAAGGGACAGCTGAGTCCACCCTAGTCCATTCATGAATAATGGTATTATTATGGATGCTATGTAGTATGTACCCGACATTGCAATCATGCATGTGTGAGATATTTGGAGTCTATTTTTCTGTTTTTTTTTTTTTGTTTTTTTTTTTCTCTCTTTGAGTCTCTGTGATGTCTGGACTTATTTTCTGTAATGGTCTTAATGGGAGGTTGGACCTGCTTTCTAAAAGGTGTTGTTTGTCACCAATATCTGGAGTCATCTGCTGGGGTCCTGCTACAATGTGCTAGTGTAGTCTGCTTGCAACACCCCCACTAGGAGCCATGGTGGATGCTGAAAAAAAAGAAAAAAAAAAAAAGAAAAAAACTACGTCGTACATGGAGTTTCATTTATAAAAGTTAAAACCTGTGACACATAAGAAGGTGCTCCCCAAACGGACTCACCCAAAAGGGCCAAAAGTAATAATAATGATGATGTAAAATTGAAAAATCAAATTAAAACAAAAATGTAATGAAAAAAAAAAGTTAACAATTCAGTTGAAGACTTGAAGTACTGAACTGCAAGGGTTTCATCCCTCGGCAGAACCGCATAAGGCCCTGCATCAGGCACGTGCCCGCCCTAAGTGAAGGCGGGCCCCTGAACTAATCAACTTTTGCAAATCTTGGTCAGTGTCAGGCAGTTGCCACGCGTCAGTTGATTACATCCGCATTGCTCATGAGAATCCACAATATTAAAAAAATATATATTCAGCCTCCTGATGAGTCGGTGAAACTCCGACGAAACAGTTTGTCACAGCCCCTCGTTTGTTGTCCTCTTCTCTCTCTCTGCCTACGGTTTTACCGGGCAGTTCTGTTTGTGACGATATATATATATATAATAAAATAAAAAAGAATCCACAATATTCATGAGCCCTCCAGGCTCTTACAGCAACGTGGTCGAAGCAGGGAGCATCACGCATTTGCGCCTGGGTGGTTGGGCATGCCTACCCAATTCGGTCGCAGGCCACTGTCTGAAAGGGCCTGGGCGCAGACACTTTGGCTGGGACCGAAGCTACAGAAAACTCGGTCTCACATGGGGTGAAAGCAAGCAATGTGACCGCCACTTTCCATATAGGAAAGGGCAGTGCGCCGGAGGGGGCATTCGGGCACTATGAGGCAGCGCTGCTGGAGGGATAGCTCGCGGGCTGCTGCGCTAGCTGCTGGATTCAAGCGTGCATGCGCGAGCGGTCATGCAAGACGAAGGGCGCTGCTGAGGGCAGCGACATAGCCAGCCCAACCATAGCCGGGCTTGGCTTGGATACAGTCAGCGGAGGTGGTGGTGGTCTTCGTGTATGGAAGGAAGACGTGGGTAGACAAGTCGAGGGAGAGAGTGAGAGAGGGAGAGATGCGGAAGATGATGTGAGAGCACGTACCTGGTCTTGGCGATAGTCTACATCTGACTCTACAACGGTCAACATCTTCCTTCATGTACTTCGGTATTGCTGCCGACGTCAACAGGTTGCATTGTCAATCAGTAACACTGGGCATGGATATAAAAGAGTTTGTGTGGCAGTTGAGTGACCCAAATCCTGCCGTGCAGTACTCGTGATCCAAGGGTCAGTATTTTACATGTATTACCCGAAAAGCTAAGGAGATCTTTGTTCCCCTCCTCCTCTCCTTAACACTGGGCATGCCGGTGCAAAGAAAGCTTCCCGCCAAAATGTTTTCAATCCGTTGGGGGTATGGCCAATCCCAAAAGAGGGTGGGATCGGCCATAGGCCCACTGGATAGAAGATCTTCAGTATTTTGCTTGTTGTTGTGCAATTATCTCATTGGGTGGAGCCCTCCTTCAATCACGGAGTATATGGAGGGCGTCATGATCACTGCTGACAGCAGTCGAGTTTATTCCAAAAAAAAATGTGGCAGTTACTTCGCTCACTGTTGTTGCAACCACCACCATCAGATCATTTGTGATCTGATGGCTGGGAAGCACTCTGCCATGATTTCCGGCGGGAGGTTTCTGTTTTTTTTTTTTTTTTTTTNTTTTTTTCAGTTCAACACCAGTGAACACACATATTCACACCTCATGCATATATGAGATCACACAAAGTTCACACTGAAGACCAGAGAGATTAAGACCAGAAACGCAGCTTATGAATTCCAACAAGTTATACAAGAGCAATAAGAGTTCCGAGTCACCAACGCACAAGTCACCAGCGCACAACAGCGCATGTCATAGGTAACCAAACATCCAACATAATCACCCAGGTAAGTATCTTCTTCCTCCCTGCTCTTCTCTCTCTGTTGTAGCTCCCCTCCTTGCTGGTCTTCTCCCTAGCTTATGACCTCGCTGTATCTTCTCTCCCTACATGCATGCACACTCACACTAACTTCTACTCAAAGATCTACTCTGAATACACCCACTGTCAACTCTACTAATCCCTCTGAAGTCTACTACTAACTGTTAGCATAACACCCTGCGCTGGCGCAGCTATGGCTGCCTTCTCCCTGCCAGCACTGTCTTCTTCTTCTCTCTCACTCTTAGCGCAGCACTCTGGCTTCAGCGCTCTGCCCCTCACATCAGCGCACAAGTGCACCAGCACTTCCACACTTCTTGCGAATGAGCCATCTGCCCGAATGGTAGGCTGGCCAGTCCTTTTGTAGTCTTGGATTGCACTTCAACTCGTGCCAGCCTCTGCTTCCTGGGCCTGACTGGGTTCCGGTACCACATCCCCTCGGCCTGTCTGCTTCTGAACGTCAAGGCCCGGAACCTTCCCGAATTTCCATTGGACTGCTGCTGCTTGGGCCTTCGAGTCATGACTTTTCATTTGTGAACATGACTTTTGACTTTGGACTGTGACCCCTGCTTCTGGGACACGACTCCTGCCTGTGGATCTTCCCTTTTACTCGTGGGATGTGACTGTTCAATATGACTTCTCATTATGAGACGTGACTCTTGCCCCTACGATGTGTCTGTTTGCTGGGTATCTGTTGGACTGGACTGCTGAGGTACCCGACTGTGACTTTTTTTTTTTTTTTTTTTTTTAACAGAACATCTCGGTTCTGGCTCCTACCATTCTGGCAGCGACAGTCCGGTTCCTATTCCCCCGGCAAGTCAATATGGAATACATACCTAGGCTACCAGCCGGGCCGCCCGGGTCCCGGGTGGCAAGCCCGTGCAAGGACCAAGGAAGGTCCTAGGGGGAAAAAACAAATTCCAAAAAATCCAAAAAAAAACTATGTTATGCAGAAAAATAAACTGAACAACTTTTTTCTCAGGGTTACGTCGAAATTCTTCACCAAATTTAAAATAAAAAAATAACTTTTAAAAATAATTTTTAATTTTTTTTATTTTTATTTTTTTGGCCCGGCCGGGCAAGTGACCCCGGACCACTCTGGTAGCCTAGATACATACAGAATTCACGCACGCTCCTCCCCATTATGGCGGGGAGGCCCGAGTGGGCAGCATTGATTACTTCCCTGAGGAAGGATGTACCACCTCTCACCCTTGCCTAAGCTAGCCTCTACTAACTCTGCCTGACAATCTATCCGATCCCAGCTCTCTGTTTCTTTTTTGTTTTTGCCTTTCTCCTGTTTTCTCAGCCCAGAAATTTGTAATGAACCTGTCAGGCCGCTGCCACACAGTTTCACACTGGATCGGCCACACTCCTTTCCGACTGCTAATGGGACCGCGCTCCCGTACAAGGATGAAACACACAAGTCGATAAATGGTTTATATTTAAAAAAAAAAAAAAAAAAAAAAAAAAAAAAAAAAAAAGTGAGTGATTATGTCCTCCGCCTTTTGGGGTTTCATTTTGCCCAGTGCCTGGTGTCGGCAAAAAATGGCTTGCTTGCAGAAGAGCAGCCCCATGCACTGTAACCATAAACGTTACCACGTTGTTAAACACCACTGGTGGTTCAAACCACCAGTTGGTTCCGACGAGCCTAAGTTGATGACGCTACCTTCCGAGAGGCTCGCTGGCCTGCAGCTGCGCCTCTTTAGAGTGTGCCAGCTGCTTTCTCTCTCCTGGCCCAGACCCGAATCGAAAAGCCCTTACAGCAAATATACCGGTAAGAGCAGTACTCTGCTCCTGCTCCGGGTGAACTGACGGTTTAAGCGATACCCATGTTGCGCAGGCTTTGACAAATACACCAGTCTTTCTCGGCTTGAGGGTGGCTTGAGGGTGGGCGAGTGGCTCGGCAGAGCACGCTTCTCTCTCGGCTGGCACTACCGCTGTCGTTACCTCGGAAATGGAAGCGGGAGGCATCAGTATTTTCATAGGACTGTACATCAGAAGGTCCGTCATGAAGCTGGATTCTCTCTCATCTCCTTTGTGTGCCTTGCTGGTCCATTCTACGGTGCCATTTTGTGAGTGATGGATATCGCCCCAACCGAACGACGGGAGGTTTTCGAAGTATGGGTGGTTATCAAGCTCTCTATTTCTTCTTCTGACGTGCTATGTGTGGTTTGCTGGTTGCTGCGGGCTGTTAACCTAATGGTCGCAGGTTCGCATTCTACGATACCAAGCTCTGAGCAGTTGACGATGTCATCGCAACCAACTGAGCTATGAGTAGTCCATTCATGCCTTCCTCTGACAGAGAGAAAGGGTGGGGTCCTGCTTCCGACTTTCAAGACTTGAGGGAGGAATCTTAACCGGGCCGGGGGGATTTAACCAGGCACGCGGTTATTGACGAGTTCCGGAAAACGGGGACTTTCAACTCGTCCAGGAACTACGTAGGCTTCTTAAGCAGGCGGCCTATATATATTATTGATTTAGTGTGTTTTTGGGCGCGAGGATTAGCTCTTCCTTCCGTCTGTCCCTGTTTGTTGGGCAGGGGTTTTAAGTTTTAACCGGGGAGGTGATTTTTTAACATTTTGCTGGAAACGTACTGCGAATTTGTGAGACAGGACAAGAGCATGCCAGAAAAGGACAAGTGAGGGGATATCGCTCGCTAGCACAAACTACCCAAGATGGTTGTTCGAGTTCACTATGGTTTTACGAGATGAACCTGGTCATGTTATGGTAAATCAAAGCATCTTTCGGAGTTGCGCAACCCCCAGTTATGTATAGCGACAATCGTACGCCGACGTGCCTCTTACTGTGCGGTGGCATTTCAACTTGTCTAGGTACTAATTAGGCCTCTATTGTGAGTATATATATAAAAAAAAAGGTGTCTATTGTGAGTGTGTTCGATGGGGGAGATAATAGTTGCTTCCTTCCGTCTGCAGTGTATCTAGGAGTGGACATCACGCCAGGTATTGTAATAATGGCGGACAAGCTTTCGGGCAATGCAGTCGACAGGGCCACCATGGGTGGTGGCACGACAGAGAGAGAGTGCGGACTTCAGCTGCTACCTAAGCTGCGGAGGGACAGGGATGTCGTTCGATACAAGGATTCATACACGGGATCGTGCGGATTGGATTCTAACAAATGTCGTGCTTGTCAAGAGGCGTTTCGGAATCCACGTGCTTTTTCTTCTGATGTTGATTGTCACAGTTGTGAAGCTTCGTTTCTCGTTAGATTCGACGTGCACCCTTTCAAACCATGGATTATGTTTGTGGCCGGGACACATCAGCTTCAGCTGTGGAACTATGAAAATGGGGGAAACTTCGAGTGCTGTGACATCTCTAGTCACGCCATCTACTCCGCCAAGTTTATCGCAAAGAACCAATGGATTGCTATGCACGATCATGACACCATTTACATACACGAGGTTTTCGACGACGTCATAGACGGGGAGCCATTCCAAGCAATCAAGTCGCGAGGAAGTCCGGTCACAGATATGGCTGTGCACAGGAGGTTGCCGTACCTGTTGACGGGTTTTCGGACTAGGCACGTTGAGCTGTGGAATTGGGACAGCGAGTGGAAAAGAACGGCCCTCAAAGGCCATTCTGAGATGGTCTACATGGTCAAATTTCATCCAAAGGACAAGGATACCTTTGCAAGTGCGTCATCTGATGGCGTGATCAAAATATGGACTATGACGAAAATGCGAGAGAGCCAAACGATTCAAGTTGGCAGCGCCCCTTCCACCATGGAGCTGTGCCGCAGCCGGAAACGCCAGCAGTCGTCGCTTCTCATCGTCGGTTTTCACGAGGGCCTCGTAGAGGTGTGGGACTACAGGACTGGATTACGTCTCGCATCCTGGGATGGGCACAACCACAGCGTCCAAGCAGCGTTCTTGCATCCGCAGTCGCCGTTCATCTTTACTGCGTCGGAGGATGGGGAGGTTAAAGCGTGGTCCGAATCGGACTACACAGCAGTGACTTCGTACTCAAGCGGAGTAAAAAACTTGTGCTCCATGGCTTACTGTAGGGATTCCAAGGCGCTTATTCTTGGAGGTGAAAGATCATTCGCCATCGTGAAGGTGGTGGTCCCGGAGGTGGTCCCGAAGGGGACAGAGAGAGAGGAAGTACAGGAGCGGCAAACAGGTCCAACCAGGAACTGCGAGGCAAACGGCCAGGAACAAGTTGAAGCTCAGGCCCACAGCATTGATGGTGATGACTCAGCGACCTCGGCGAAGACGGAGGATTCGTCAGACGGGATCGATGGCGGTGTATTCTTGTGGTAATCACAACACCGCCGAGATGTCTATGTCCAACGAACCTTGGACAAGAATGATGAAATGGGGGGACACCAAAGAAAGAGGAAGACAAAGAAGAAGAACAACAGCCCAGGAGGAGGGCTGAGGAACGAGAAGGGGTCAGTCAGGTCCCACTGCCTAAAATGCATCATGGAAGCTGTCAGGCGATGAGAACAGGTTTGTGAGGGAATTTTGGGAGAGAGAGGTGTGGAATGAGGGTTGAAGGAAAAGAACAGAAGCCGGGAGGGTTCACGGGAAACTCGAAGACATCGGGCGGCGCTGACCGAAACACATGATGGTGGAACCTGCCGGTCGATAGGAACAGGTCTCAGAGGGAGTGCGGGAAAGGGAGGTGTGGAATTAGGGCCGAAGGAGGTGATGAGCTTCATGTTTGATTCACATAAGGATTGAAAGTAAAGAAGAGAGGTGATGAGCGATGATGAGGTGGGAGTATGACATCGTTGAAAACCTCTTCGTTGTGCTCTTTTTTTTTTTCTTTTTTTTTTTTGACTTCCTCTTTGTACTCTTTTTTGGAGGTACTGCAGGCAAAGAAAAAGGAAATCAATCCTGAGCTATATGATGGTCTTTTCCTTTGACCAGCTCTTGCTGCATGAAATGGCGCAGTTGCTCCTGAGACGGGCGCAAGTCATAGCTCTCTTCCCATCGTCCACTGTATCTCCAACCTTTCAGGTGCTAATCATCATCACCACCATCATCATAATCATTGCCATCATCATCATCATCATCATCATCATCATCATCATCATCGTCATCATCGTCGCCAATCATCATCATCATCATCATCGTCATCATCGTCATCGTCATCGTCATCATCATCATCATCATCATCATCATCATCGTCATCGCCACCATCGTCATCATCATCATCATCAGCAGCAGCAGCAGCAGCAGCAGGAGCATTTAGCAGGGACCTGAGGGGATGAGAGAGCAGTGGTTAGGAGGTGCAGGGATGGAGACGAAGTAAGAAGAAATCTGAAGAATGAATTAGGATCATCAGTGAGGAGACTGCGGAATGTAAAATTGAACCTTTTGGGCCAAATGATGTTTCATTTGGAAAAGAGAAAAGAAAAAAAAGTGGACAGCAGAGTTCGGGATCAACATGCGAAGAACGGACTAGGTCCTGTGTATGTCATTGACAAACTGCAGAGAGAAATGCTACAATTTACGAAGGCTTTTTTTTTTTTTTTTTTTTTTTTTTTTTTTCCGCTTCTGGCTTGGACTTCGGTGGTGATCTCATTGTCTTTCCTATGGCCAGCAATCTTTCCTCTGATGTCTTCTTCTCCTCTGCTCCCATGATCCTTATCCATTCTCCTTCACTTTCCCCCATTTCTCCTTCTCCACTTATTTCTCTTCCACTTATTCCCTCTACCTTCCATCTATCATCACATTGTCTCTTCCCTCTTCCTCTCTATTCGTCCTTCTTCCTTTCGTCTTTCAGACTCTTTCTCCTTTCTTCTTTCTTCTTCCTTCTTTCTTGTTTCTTGTTTCTTGTTTCTTGTTTCTTGTTTCTTGCTTGCTTGCTTGCTTGCTTGCTAGCTCGCTTGCTCACTTGCTTGCCTATTTACTGCCGTGGTTGCTTGTGTCAGAGAGAATGTTCCGTGTGTGTGAATCACTCTTTACGGAAATTCACGCGTATTTCATGTTTGGTTTGCGGCATGAGATGTTGTTTAATCGCATGTTTCTGCGCCTACTTGGCGTTTTTTACGACGATCGAACTGTGCCGTGTGCATATTGTACCGTGTGCAAGAGTGATCGTGAAGTTTTATGTCAGTTCACACCATGCGATGTTGTTTAAAAGATATTGAGATTAGAATTCGCTTTGTTATCACGGCATATCATATGCTCGAAGAAACAATATCAGGAAGAGCAATTCAAAGAACGGCTCTGTTGAATTCGTACTTGCAGAGAAATTGAATGTGATTATGCTGGGATATGCCTGCACTTCTTTTTCTGGGATATGCCTGCACTTCTTTGTGAGGATCAGGGTCCTCGGTAGGCCTATGGGGCCCTGTTTACAGCATTGCCCGCCCTAAGTGAAGGCGGAGGTGCCCGCCCTAAGTGAAGGCGGGCCTGACATATCGCAAGAGGCCCTCGACTATCAATTTCATATTTGGGGTCCAGGCAGTTGCGACGCGCCAGTTGGTTGAGAGAAACTCAGGCCGGGCAACAAAGACATTTCCACGGCCTTCCGGGCTTTTCCAAAGAATGCAGGCCCTGGGCGTGATTCGCAGCCTCATACAGAGACAGTTGGGCGCCCAACCGAACGAGGCCCAGCAGCCCAGTAGCTGCTGTACACAGGCAGCCTCCTGGGGCCTTCCGAAAGCTTCTGGGCCCAGGCCAGTGCAGCCAGGCTGCGCGAGCAGGCCAGCTCTTTCCATAAAGGAAAGAGATCTCCCCTGGCAGCCTCATTCAGGTGCTCACATGCTAGCGGCAGGGCTGCTGGAGGAAGAGCTCGCGGCTGCTGGCTGGCGCTGAGAGGCGAGGTGCAGCACGTGCGGTCGTGCAGGGAAGAAGGGCGCTGCTGAGGGCAGCGCCATAGCCCAGCCACCATAGCTGGTGGGCTTGGTCTACAGTGAGGCGCAGGGGTGGTCTTCGGGTGTAAGAGAGGACAGACGTGGGAGTAAAGACAGGGGATAGGTGAAGGATGATGATGATGATGATGTGAGGGCACTCACCTTGTATTGGCGATGGTCTGCATGGGCGACATCTTCAAGTACTTTGGGTTGCTGCTGATGTCAACAGTTGCATTGTCAATTAGTAGGCTGTAGTAGCTGTGTTAGGAGTAGGCTGGGCACTGAGCGCTAAGTAGGACAGTGAAGGGACTGGACTCTTGTGTTGATGAGGAGAGAGAATGCTCTCCATGACATTGGTTTTCAGTACTACGAACCTCCATTGGTGTATTATTGGTGCAATGCTGCTCTCTGGACACGGTGTGACTATCTGGCTTTCAATGTGATGGTGTAATCTGGAATTGTCATCTCGCTGTTGCTTATTTTCCTTGCATCTTTTTCTAATGCAAAAAAAAAAAAAGAAGAAGAAGATTATGCTGAAATCATGGAATTGGAATGGGACATTTCATCATTGCACTAATTTTCGGACTATTCCGATGAAGCTGGTCCTATGTCGGATCTGTTCTTCACATTCAGTTCGACGTTGCGATGCGGCAAAGAAAAAAGAACTAGCACGACTCTGCTGACCCTCATGTCCGAGAGACTTCCATTGTGTTGTTGGTCTGCCGCTTTCAATCCAGCTCCGCTAATCTCCTCCCAACCTGCATGGTTGTCAGAAATTTCTCTGTATTGAATCTATTTTCTCAAAAAAAAAAAAAAAAAAAAAAAAAAAAAGAAGAGATTTGAGTGTGTATTGTGTTTTTTTTTGTTTTTTTTTTCACTGTGCTGTACCCCGTGACCAAATTGAACCCCCCGACGGGCATCGGCCACTCCTAAGTGGGCACGAATGACTAGGCCCGAGGCAGGCCAAACAGGCCAGAGGGAAAAGGCTAGACCGACATTTGACTGTAAGTACAACAGTGAACTCGTGGACCCAGGCCCAGATTCGAAAAGTCAAAGTCAACAGACAATTTTCTGGCCGTCGATCGGGATTGATCTAACAGTGGTCTGCAGGCTTAGGAAGATTAAGGCCACATGGAGCCCAGCCAGGAAATGGGACTAATTGCATCTGGACCGACGACATCTGGATGATCCAGGGCTTATTGTGACTGAAGCTGGCCCTGGTGACCACGATTCAATGCTATATAGAGTTGATTTCACCACCACTTGGGCATTCGGTCTTGCGAGTTCCTCGCGGCTTCACTGCTGCACGTGAGACCTGAGTTTGGGAGCGGGCGCCAGTCTGTTTCATGGGCGCCAGCCATGTGCGATAGAAGGAGAGAGAGAGAGAGAGAGAGAGAGAGAGAGAGAGAGAGAGAGAGAGAGAGAGAGAGAGTACGTCGGCCATTGCTGCGGCCATTGACGACGGCGAGGTAGTGAGGAGAGGGGAGAGAGTATGGGTGAAGAGAGACGTTGTGTGTACGTCCCTGGTCTCACTTGACGCTGCTGCTGCCGCTGTTCATCAACGGAGGTGCGCTCTTCGGAGATAGGGCTGCATTCTCCACGTGTCAGATTGTGATCAGACTGCAGATGTGTCAGAGATGGAGGAGCCCGATGGAGAGGATGGACATGATTTCTACTTCCTCTCTTCTCTTACTATTTGTCTCTCCTCCCCCATCGCACTTCTAGCCTGGTTACTCTTGGAATGGGAAATGTACACGTGGCAGCAGAAGATCGGGTGCATCATTGTGTTCCCATCTGATTGATTATTCCGGGACAATTATCACGCGACATTGCTATTTCTCGATTTGCGGGATTGCTGGACAAACGAGATTGGGTTCATTACAATTTGGTATCGGAGCGAACTCACCTCATCTCGCCGATTGCTGCTTGGTTGACGACGATGACGCGAGACCACAATGATTGTTTCTCTCTGATTAGGTGCTGACGTGGCACGGGCAGAGTGGTTTTCACCATATGCTCGTGCTGACGTGGTGCTTGCTGGCCAGTTCCCTGGAGGGAATAAATCGCCACGGTGTCTCTCTCTGAACGGGGTGCTGACGTGGCACTCGCTGGTTGGTTTCCGTAAGGGAATGAATCACCAGTAATGCCGAGAGATGGTTAACGGGGGGCCAAATATTCACCGTTTTCGCCGGCAATTTCGGTGCAAAATTCACCGAAATTTAAAAAAACAAACGATATGGGCCCATAGTGCAAACATCAAAAAAAGAAGTAGGCTAAGAAAAAAAAAAAAAAAAAACTGTTAAACCCTAACACAAAAGCACTGTCCGAGTTAAAAATGAAGCGTCCAACGAATTCAGCGAAATGCCAACTTTTTCATTCTTGGTCCAAACGCACTGATTGTATAGCGCTGAAGACAAGGAAGAAACAAACATTGGCATGGCATATCTGGTTCTGAGAGCACTGATGACGTGGCCTATCTACTGGCGAGAGTATTGCTGACATGGCACATCCAAGTTGGGTCGATGATAGTGTCGCTGACGTCACTGCAGAGAGCTTGCTGCAGGAGGACAGCGGGATTCTGTTCCTGCGATTGAATGCTGACCTGAACATATTGTGATGGCTGTTGGTTGACGCTGAACTGGACTTACATTCGTCGGCCTATTGGTTGATGCAAAAAGTGCACTACACTAGCATCTCCGGTTTCCCCATCTGCAATGCCTTATCACCGCGATGAGGGGCTGATACAAGCCTTGCTCTCGCACCACGACTATGGTGCAAACCTACCCCAAGGGCTGGGAGAGATCCGGGTTTGGTTGGTGTTCCCCCGTACGATACATAGAGTAGCCAGAGGATGAGTGAGATAGGTAAGGGGAAAAAAAAAAGATGAGTACATTGAGAGGAGAATGTAGATCAGTTTGTTTTTTTATTAAAAAAAAAAAGTATTACAGGACCTAGGGCCTCACTCTACTACACAACACTCTTCACTCATTTGGATGCTTTCTGGACCAGATGCATTCCGACCAGCCCAACATTTTGAATGTATAGAGTCCAGAAAGCGTCCAAACGCGTGTACACTGTACAGTGTTCTGGTGGAGCGAGGCCCCTACCGTGTCACAAACCCTTGCTGATCTTGAAAGATCAGCTTGTGCTCCCCTCAGGTTTCTTTGGAGGAATACAGGCCCTCAATGATGTCTCTTTGGAGGAATACAGGGCCTCTTTTTTTTCTTTTTTCTTTTTCTAATTTGCTCCATTCTATTCGTGGGGACCTGCACGTGTCGGGAACCGGGCCCAACGTCCCTTATAAAGAATCTTGAGGCCGGGGTCCTCACAGTCTACCCAGGAGAACATACCGAGAGCATTATCCGATTACAATTTCCTTTTTTTTTTTTTTTTTTTTGACACACTTTCCTATACCTTCAGATTAGTAACTTCGCTGAAATTGCAGAAATCATGGAGAAATGTATGTAACTGGCATTGTCAAGAAC